CTACTCCCCCTGATTGTCTCACCTACTGACTCAATCTAAAGACTTACAGAATCCGGACAGGATCCTGTCAAGTGGGTCTCTAGCCTAGACCTACTCTATGGTTGTCACTACAAGACCTGTTGCTGATCAGGAGGCATTTAAGGAGATCCCCTGTAACTCCTCATGAATTATTTAACGTCGCAGACAGGACGACGCGATCAGCAGGTCTTCTCAAGACGTAGACGGCCTGTTGTGCAGCCCACAACTCAGATTTTGGGTCTACCGTGCCTCACCAAGCAGCCCACCGGTCAGTACCGGTCCTTGGAAGGGTTCGTGTCCTCCCGGACAGTCGTGTCGTCAGACATAGTCTTTAGCCCTACTCAGCCCGTTTGCGTTTCGTCAACAAGGCCCTATCCTTCATCCACAGAGTTCCTATCACCTGGATAGAAGAGACTCAATGCAGAAAGAAGAGACAGACAGACTTGACTCAGCAAGTACCACAGGGTGTGTGCACATCCATAGGGCGAGGGGATAGGCTGAAGGCTTGGCGAGATTATACCGGCTCTAGCTTGGTCAAACGCGAGGTCAACGGCCTTGGTCAGCGCTGCAGTCAACGCTGCAGTCAACTCTGGTCACCTCCGGTCAACTCCTGGTCAACCCCGGTCAACACCTCTGGTCAACTCTGGCTATGGCGGCCGGCTTCACCTTCGTCACCACCCTTCTTCTTCCTTCTCCCTACCTCGCCTCCTTTGTCTTCACCCCTGCTGTCTTTGTTCTCTCCTTTGTTTTTGTTTTTTTTTGTTCGTCTCTCCCTTCACCTCCTTGGCTATGGCTTCTTTCACCTCCCTCAGTCTCCTCCTCTGTCTACTCTTTCACCCTCCTTCGTTTCTCTGTGGTCGAGCTCCGCGGATATGGCCGCCTCTTAGTTCCATCCATCGGTCCATCCGTTGGTCCATCCATCAATCGGTCCATCCATCGGTCCATCCATCGGTCCATCCATCCATCCATCGGTCCATCCATCCATCGGTCCATCCATCGGTGCATCCATCGGTCCATCCATCCATCCATCGGTCCATCGGTCCCCGCACACGTGTCAGATAAGGTTGTCATGTCTCTCTCTCTCTCTCTCTCTCTCTCTCTCTCTCTCTCTCTCTCTCTCTCTCTCTCTCTCTCTC